GAAGTTCGGTGGCGGGGGGGGCAGCGCAGGCCACGGCGGCGGCGAGCTCCGAAATGAGAGCGCTGTGTCCGTGGTGCTCAGATCGGGGGGCAGAACCGCGCAGCTCAGAGAGCAGGACAAGGGAGCAGCCAGAATTTAGCTCAGGTCCCAGCCCCTGCCGCTGTTGAATACAAATGGAGGTGTTTTTAACCAAGTTCTGTCACGTCAGCCCGGCTGAACCCCCCGTGCGGCAGCGGCGCGGTTTGTGTGCGCCATCTTGGCAGCCCAGGGCCAAGTCTGCCGGCAGCCGTAGGGCACGGTGTAGCGGGGGGCATGGTGTAACGGGACACGGCGTAACGGGACACGGTGTAACGGGGGACACGGCGTAACGGGACACGGTGTAACGGGGGACACGGCGTAATGGGATGTGCTGCGCGGGCCAAGTTTTGGTCCAACGCTGCGGGCAGTTGGCAGGCGTTTCGCTGTTGATGTAAATTAGTTCAGGTCGAGAATTCTTGCAAGGAGGGAAATGTCATCCTGCGGCCTTGACAGGCTGTTAGGAGTGAAGGGTGGCCGAGGGGGCACGCACACGCACCCTGTAACGTGCTGCATGCGTGTGTTGTGTTGCAACCCGGCATCGCAGCCCCAGGGCCAGGGCCTGCTGTGGCCTAGGCTGCCCGACGGCCACATCTGTCTGCCGAGGGATTTGCCTGCTGCCACCCGCTACGGAGAAGCGCAGATTCAGTTTGGGATGTCTTTGCACATGAAAACCAAACTTTAACCTCCAGCCAGGCTGGGGTAAGGGTCCAAGCCTGTGAACTAAAGGCATATCTTTTAAAGCTGAAAAGGAAAGAGGAGCTCTTGTCCATCACCATACCACCAAAGCTCCTGAGCTGAAAGGCGAGATAAATACTCTGGTATTTCTTGTTAGGAAATAAGGTAGTACTCCTCCTGTCACAGAATTAGTTCTTGCTTTCAGTTCAATAGCGAAGCCTCAGTACTCTTTGGGGCATTTTGAAAATGCACACAGTACTTCAAGTGCCGATACCCCCTTTTTTACTGTGGTTCTTCAAACTGCCAGCACTGCACTATGAAATTTTGCCAAAACTGTGCATCTGTCGAGTGAGTGAGAATTATGAGCTACAAGAGCATGAACCATACACACGCACTGGAAAAAAGCAAGGAAAACACTGTACATGCATATAAATGAAGATGGGCATCAGCTTTATTACAAAAACGGCATTTTTGCCTTTGTTTTTACTAGGGGACACTTCTCCAACTCTGTCCTTCCTTATAGTGCATCTTGTCTTGCTTGGAAATTTTTTCTTTCAAAGTCCAATTTGCATAAGCATTAATATCGAGGACATAAAAGTCTATGAAGATATAAAACACGAGGTTTGCACATAGAGAAAATATTTCATTAGACCAGCTGATACAGACCAAGCACCCAAGCTTGAAAGCAAAAGCACGTAAGGAATCCAAGCTGGTGCGGACTAGTCAGGAAAAAGCTGCCCCATTCCCAATTATCCTTATCCTTGAGTTTGGACAAAGCAGCATTTTCAACTTGAAAACGATTTTCCTGTTCCTGGCCAAGGACTGCACGGGGTTCCCAGCTCTCAGCTCCGTGCCATCAGTCTAGCGTCTCGCTTCCCGCAGCCCTGGATCTCAAACAGGTGATGATATTCCAAACCTTTCTGGCAGCATACCTCCATCTGAGACACTTCTGCAGATTTAATCCTAACATAATATTCTTCCTACCATAACACAAATCAACAGGTTTGTGCAAAACTGCATTCTTTTTTATGGTGACTGTAAGTAATCTATTAATGGAACACAAACGAACTCCCAAGAGTTACTCTGTAGCTCAGGCTCTATCATACCTAACTCACGATGCATGTACTATCCCAGTGCTTAGGTGTCACAGAGAAGGCACATTTCTTACGATGCCTGCCAGTTTTGTTGCAAAACTGGCTTACATTTTTCTGATTTTTAATGCCAAATGTCTGTTTTCAAGACAAAGTCTAGTAAAAAACCACATTGTTTTGCATCTATTCAAAAATTTTGGACACATTAGAAAAGCTCTCTTTGTTAGGGAAGGAGCAGAAGTTTAGTGAAAAGGGTCTGCAAAACACGAGTCTTTTGTTGCACCCATGAATAAACACCAAAACTCAGTGGTCATTCGTGTGTCGTAGATGTCAGCAGCTGGACTTCTCTCCCCCCCAGATTTCAGTCACACCGGGCAAGCTCCTTCACGGCAAGAGAAGGAGCGAAAGAGGACACGGACTGGGACAAAGAGGCAATACCAGGACCTTCACCAAGACCAAGGTTTCCGCTCACGTATAATTCTGACACATCCTCACAGCTACGACATTCTGTGTATTCAATAGCGCAAAGATGAGGTAGAAGAAAACGTGACAAGCATTCAAGTCAGGAGCACAGGCTGAGGTCACACAGGCAACTTTAACCGACACCTATATTTGGGATGTGTGACTTCGTAATCTTTGTTTTCTCAACATGGCTGCCGCTGAATATTTTTACTTAAAAATATGACCACTAGAAGCAACAAATACACATTTTAGTATTATATGTATCTCAAAGGCCTATGCTAAGTAATCAGACTTGCACTAATTGTTACTGTGATATTTTTTCACTAATTAGAACAAGCCTTTGTGGTATGAAAAAACCAACATGAAAGCAAGAAGATTATCTGCCTCACATCATTTAAACAACATTTAAGAATTCCACAACATTTTTCAGCTTCAAAGCAGTTAAAAGTTGTTAACTAATGATTCCTCGCAGCAACCCTGCAAGATAGGCAGATATTGTTGCCGCGTTTTTACCGATGGGGAAAGGAGACCTTGCCATCCCTAGGCCATGCGGGGAGCCTGGGTGAGAGCCAGCTCCAGAACCCGGTAGCTTTTGGGCTGCCAATTCTGTATGGTCAGGCCACACCCCTCTCTTAAATGTTAAACAATAAACACAGAGCCACAGGCAGAACTCGGATAAAAATAGCATGCGGTGCAAGGCAGCAAGTCAGTCCTTTACTTTTAGGAGTTACAGCTTTAAGTGATTAACTGTCAAGAACAATCATCATTTGTCTTGGTCCAAAACCACACTCTGTTGAGCTGGCATATTTAATGGGTACGATATCACTAATTATAGCACTATTCGTGCTACTTTAAGAGATCACACCGAGGAGGTACAAAAGCATAAAAATGCCAGTCCAGCCCCCAAGCAAGCCTTGGTGTCCCATCATACACATAAATGAAGTTATTAAAAGATACAACCATCTTAAAGACTCCTTGGAGACATCCAGCTTGCATAGCTGATACCCCAGCCCAGCATTCTGTCAGCGTGAATAAATCATAAACTGGTCCTGTCGTCAGAAACTGCACCTGGCCTCGCACACCAACTGTGTATTGAGGGAACAGATTGCACTGCAACTTTTATCGTTCAGTTCATTACATGGCAGAGAACACAACAGCTATGGCAGCAGTCAAGCAACTTCCAACACAGCTGAAAAGCCTGTATTCTTGTACGATACAATCTATGACTGACTTAATATCTAATAGTTAAGGTTTCATTACAACAAAGAAAATAATCCATTTTGCTCAAGGAATTACATCCAGGAACTGATTTTTAGACCCGGTCACAGCAGACTGTAGTTGAACTCTGTTCTGAACATATCCAGTCACCCTGAAAGCCAAATATTTAGAATGGCCAACAAAAAAATAAAACAAAAAAAAGACATCAGATGTCTTTTTCAGGTAAAAGCAACTTGAAAGTCTGCAAAATAACTGCAACTGATGTTTAAAATGTTTCAACCCTAGATGTGTTCAGGGCCTTTGAAAATACATGGAAGAGAAAACAGAGGGTGCTGGAGAGCAAGGGGAGGATGCAGACCTAGCAGTCCAGGTTGCAGCTTCTGGTAGGCAGGACTGCCCATCTTCCCCCAAAGTTACTGAAAAACTTTGGGGGGGCGGTGGGTGGGAAGAGGGGCTGGGTGGTACGCAGAGCACCCCAACAAAGATAAATTGGAATATTGCTAGAATACAGGGATAAATACATCTTATTCATCACAGAATAATGAATAATGACCACCATTCCACGAGAAGCTTAGTTTATGAGTACTCTCAAATTGATTTCCATGTGCAACAGAGGAAAAACAAGTTAGCAGCTTACTATTTATACGTACATAGCTACAACTCCTTTCCTCCCCTCTTCTCATATTCGAGTGAAAGGATAAGAATAGTTAAGTTACTGTAGCAGCATTTTCAATTCATTAAAAAATACACAACATTTCTCTATTTTCTGATACCTTGCAATTCATACAGGCTTTTTGCCTTAATTCAGATATATAGGGCTTGCCTGTAACAAGCAATACACATCTCACGTTGAAATTCAGAAAGCAAAGTACACTGAAACAGAGGGCTTATTTATTCAACTTAAAAATCACACAATACAGTGGCCTCCCAACTCTCACAAATCCTGCGTGCATTTTGACGTCCACACAGGCACGAACACACGCAATCTACTGCGGCCAGATTCAATTACACTTCAGGGAAGCAAGGGACGAACACAACAAGCTGCTGGATTTTAAGTGAAATCTGTACAAGGTGTACCAAAACATTTCAGTGCCGGTTGGAGTCATTAACACTGTGTCACTGAGACACCAGGAGAACAAACAGCATTTCTACTCACAAGAGAGAAGGGCTAAGGCTATTTGGTCTGGTAACGCTGTCAATAGGCATCTTCAGCCAGAATTTAAAAGATATTAAAAAAAGCCCAGAGAAAAAATGGTTAGGTTTTAAAGTATTAACTTTATTAATAAATATACATCCATATGATGATGTAAATACAGATCATGAACACTACTCCATTCCCATACACATAATTGCACACGAGTAGCTCAAGTTCATGGACATAAAAACATACACAGTATCTAATCAGGCTTTTTACAGCAGAGGATGGGGTGCTGATACTAGTTATTTAACAGATTACTGTTTCCCCCAAAGTAAACCTGTGGAAAAGCAAATGATGAAAGATTAAAGTATCAGAAAGTGGTTCAAATTTCAGAACACAGATTTATCTATTTGGGAAAAAAAAAAAAATCACAAGGAGAAAGGTCTAGTCTCTACTAAAGTCATAAATATATTTAAGCAGTGTTAAAATATATGCATTAAAATAGAGAAGAATAAACTTCTTTTGTGGTCAGAAATGAAGTCTGCAGTTCAAGTTATTTATGATTGTTATCAACTGTTTTAACTGTCAACTCTAAGGATAGCGTGAAACATTATTATACATATAACAAAGAATAGCAGAGTCACAGCTAATGAAACCATTGGACAAATGACTTCACATTGCTCTGCCTTTTAAAGCTCTTCAAAAATGGGGGAGGGAGTTAAATTCTCATCTGAATTACTCTGTGTGTTGTAGTTGCAAGTAATTCTTTTCACAGACACATCACTTTCACTGACAAGGCTTGGTTTTGTCCTGACTGAACTCTTAAGATCTTTCAGAGAAAATGAAAACATATTCATTCAGAACCGAGATCTTCAATGGCTCTCAATATGTAGTTATTTTGATTAGTTAAACTAAATCCGAGATATAAAGAACATTGCTTTAATGACAAAGCTAACTGCTGATTTTAAAAATACTATCTTTGATATCAAAGTTAGCCACTTCTGATGGTATCTGATTTCTTTCTGCCAAAATATGGTGCTAGCATCTTGAATATGTCCAGTGCAAGACTTTATAGTAGCAAAATTATTTGGTTTTAAAGTTTAAGTAAATTTAATCAGAAACTGAATAGTAGTTACTATATGTATATTAAACAGTCAACTTGTATATCATCATTAAGGAATAATAGCAAGCTAATACATTTCATTTATGTATAAATAAGACATTAGAAACTTGATAATTAAAAGAAATTATTAGAAAACAAACTTGACATGTAGATCTTCTGAACAGTGTTAACACGCAACAGTGATCCTAGCTTATGAATAGCTCAGTTATGATATATAATATAAAATAAGCAATTTACCTTACAAGTAATGTTTTCATACTATGGGGGGAAAAGGCCAGTTTTCCCATCGGTGCTAATAAAGTTTAGGCATTAACATGCTGTTTCAGTGTTCACCATGGAAAGAAAAGTGTTGAAAAAAGCATGATGTATTCTGCAGGTTATACACAGGAAAAGCAGGAGTATTTGAAAATTCCATTTCTAGTTCACTTTGAATCTCTGACTTCTTTTTTCGTCCCCTCGCTGCACGGCACCAGTAAACTATAGTCAGATATAAAATAAACCAGTATTAGGAAACGCCCAGCAGCGCACTTCTGGTTTCCTTGCTAAATCTAGAGCACCAAGCAGCCCATTAGACTCTCTGAACACTTTTCTACTTTATGCTCATCATTTCACAATTGACAACGTTAATTGTTTTTACTGGGATTATACTCCATCTGATATAATTAATAAACACCGTAATGAACAGAAATTGCTTAGATGATTTCATTATTTCATCAGCATAGTTGAATACAAAATTCATTATACTAGCAGAACAGCAATACATCTGCATCATCTCCTGACACACAGCACAGCACCATCGAGTAGATGCACCAGTGAGAAACGGAACAGGAGCAAACAGGATAAACAGGAGGAGGTAAGAAGCGGAGTTTCTCCAAGGTACAGTGGTGACATGCAACACATTCCTTGCCAGCGAGGTGCGACACTCCTGCAGTTATTACATTCAGCTGAAGAGGACTGCTTTCCCAGCTGAGTTCAGGAAAGAACTTAGAGCAGTCTTGAAAAATCATTTGATTAAAAACAGCCAATACAACACAGATCCTGAGGGTGAATTAACTCACGTTAGCGTTCTGCATGTGTCAGAAGTTACATCGTTCTGAGAAAGATTGCTAGATTTCAGACTTGTGAGTTTGTTGAGGAACAGAATGTATAACTGGGTATCATAGCTTCAGCACGAAGAAACCATTTTTTAGTAGCAGTTTAGCTGCCATTAGTTCATCTATCATCTAAGGAGCCATCCAGTATAGTTGAGGTTCATTGTCTCAGTTGACAGTGCATACACAGTTCCCCCAAAATAATTCAACACACCTATTGTAAAGTACAGCATAAAGTCCAGCTCAATATGTGTTAGGCATCACTGGAACACCTGAAGGCTTGCTGCTTTTTTCCTGATAAAAAAGGTATGAAACATGACATCTGTTTCTTAAGTTGTCATCACTGAAATCAAGAGTTCTCATCTAAATGACAGCAGGCCAAAATAGCATTTATGTTAACAAAAATTATCAGCATCATTACTCATTCAGCACAAGCTCAATTAACCCAAATTTTTCTGCTCTCCCAAATCTGCAAACTCTATATATTTTCCCCCCGATATTTGAAGCTACAAATTTACCATAATGTCATATTATATGTGGAACAACTTAAACGTAAACTTTCTTCCAGATGGGGGGGGGAGGGGGCAGGGAAAGCTTTAATTCCAGTAAAATAAATTTAGAACAAACAATATGCAACATTGAGGACTGATTTTTCTGAAGTCTAGATTAAAGTATTTTACACACACACTCACATACTCTCTCACACTTAAAAAAAAATTAAACACACCCAGTTGAAAAATTGAACATTTCTTTTGGAAAGAGGGAATGTTTTAGTTTGAGTCAAGAAAGGTATTTAGAGTTAACCAACATTTTTTTTCAGCTTGCATGCATAGATGAATTACTTTATATCTGGGGTCTAGCAGTGCAGTGAACCGCATCCTGTTTGCATCGGCTATACAGTTTGCTTTTATAAATCATGAAAATGGTGTCCTTTGGTAGATAATATAAGCTTCCATAACTTAAATATAGTATAAGTGTCGAACAACGAAATAACTATTTCCAGGAATATCTGGCAAAACTAAGTTTGAAAACTTGGCAACAGTGTCTATTTAAAAAGTTTAATTTGTAAACATTATAGATTAATACTTTGAAAGCTATTAAACTGTTGCCACCTAAGCACAGATTTTAAAGGCAAAAAACCAGTGTAAATAGCTATTTACAGATTTAAGAACATACTGTTTAATATTAACCAAGTGCGTAACTAGAATGAACAGTACTTAATTTCTTATAAAATATTTCAAATTTCAAAGAATTATTTGTGGTTTGGTATATGTACTATTGGTATATGCATTTCAAAATTACACAGCAGAATCCTGTAACAGCATAACTAAAGGAACAGCTATCACCTAAAGGCAAATTAGCTTCCATTAATAAGGCGCTGTGAAGCTGTAATGCGCTGTACAAATGCTCAGTTTTCTTTAATATTTTCAAAAATATTTTTGGAGCATTAGTTGAAATTGTCTTACTGCTACAGCTCCAGAAACAAAAGCCACCTGAAATCAGCACTTTAGAAAAAGGTTGAGTTCTTTTGTTTGTTCTTTAAGTATCTATTTGAGGTCTGTAGAAGCTCCTGCAGAAATGGGAAATGTAGCTTGCTGCTTTCTTTATCAATTTTTCTTATCAAGTAAGAACTCATCTGGCTAAGTTCCTTATTGTGGGATAGGCCACATCATGAACGAACAGCCAGCTAATTCTGTCCTCCTTATTTCGATTATTTAATGCATAACCACACAACTAGATTTACCAGAAACTGAACATAAAACTAGGGACATGGACATTAATTAAGTATCGACACCAAGGCATATGCATCACTTCAGACTTTCTTATAAATTATGATTTAAAACCAACAAAACCCCCTTTCAACCAGTGCCTTCTCAACATTGCTTTAAAAGTTACTGAATTGCACCCGTAGGCTATGGCATTATTTGAATAAAAATAAAATCTAGAAATTCAGACTTAGGCAAACACTACAACAAAATGTAAGAAACACGCCAAAATGCAGAGTAAAGTGGATTAGTAAGGAGTTACTAATTCCCTCCTTTCATTCATTAGGCTGTTTCATTTTGCTACTGGTTTCATCAGCAGCATGTACTCCTCTGTTATGCACCATAGGATAGGGAAAAGCTGCACTGCCACAAGTATAATTTAGATTTGCAAGCCGTGATAGAGCTTTAATGCTACCTGGAGGTCTGCCTGGGCTGACTTTGTATCCTGCTGCTTTAGTGGTACCCAAGGGTCTGCCTGGACTTGTCTTAAATCCAGCTGCTTTGGTGGTCCCCAGGGGTCGACCTGTGCTGGTTCGGTACCCTGCTGATTTTGTGGTCCCTGATGGCCTTCCACGTTTACCAGATCGGTTGAGGTTTTTCTTTTTCTTTAGTTCGTCTTTTGTCTCTATATTCCTGCCACTTGTGGTCTGCAAGTGCGATTCGTTCAACGCATCTTGTCTCTGGCATGCGATTGGTTTGTGGCTGACTGCGTGGCTGTATTTGCTTTGCTGCGTGGCATACAAGTCAAACTGGTCAGCAGATCTCACATTGTCTTCGTTAAGGCAAGAACTCTTGCCGGTCCCACAGAAAGCTGTATTGCTGCTGGCAACAGGGTGCATCATTTTCTACCAAAAATAAGAGAGACAAATATGTATCAATATAATACTGCAGCGTTCCACAAGTGAGAATCTTTCAAAAGCCTCCTCTATCTCTTAAAATTAGTCCAAACTACTTGGTCTATTTTTAGTAAACACTATTGATGTCAGGACATTACTTTTTTAAACAAAAAGTTTTATTAATCTTTCACTTGAGGTTTTGCACGGTAATCTTTACACATAGTTAAAACTGACAATTTAAACTATGTATTATTCAGATAGGTATAATTAGGGAAGAAGTACATTAATGAACTGAACGAGAGCATTTCAGCAACCCAGATATACAATATCCGCTCACCTACTGCGATTTCAAAACCTTTCTAACTGAATCTCATCTAAATTCTAGCTGTTCTAGTTGCAAAATTAACCTATCACCTGTGAGCCAAGGAAAAATATGGTATCACTCTCTTGATTTAGTAGATATAGGCTCCTAAAGATTTTTTTTGTTCAACTGCAGCAAATTAATAAAACACTAATCAGTTTTGTCATTTGTTGTCACAATTAATGCGGAAGAAAGAAACGGGTAAGGCATTCAGCAAAGACAATGGTGCCATAGTTGGGAAAGCAGAAGTACAAAATGAATCAATTACAAAGTAAAAGATGCTAGATTGCAGAAATGCCGCTGCTGTCCTACTTAGAAGAGCAGGTACAAATTGCTGGTAATGCCAATTCCGAGAGAACAACTTTGGGAAAAACAACACAACTCCTGTTACAGACGTGCACATTGTTACACATCTCCAAATATTCTGGAAAACAAACATGGCCCATCGAGGTCAACGACTGTTTTATATAGCCTGCTCTTTTCGTCAGACAAAACCAACTTGAGCTGTGCTCTGTTTACAGCGGTTTACTTCTTTAAAGAAGAATCAAAGCCCTATCTTCAGGATGGCAGAAGTGTGACTCTCACCTGCACATTACTGCAGGCTAATCCTGGTTCCAATGGACAAACTGACGTCCAGCTGCTAGAAACCACGTACGGTCACCGTCATAATGACAAGCAACAGTTTCTAAATAAATTGGTTATGCTTATACCCATCATAGCAAATCCCTGCAGCATATGTACTGGGGCAGAATCACAACAACTAACAATACTACTGGTATTCTAAAACTTTTTTAGTATTAATGCTTCTAAATACCAACTGCACAGATACTGCCTCAGATTTCTTAATGGTGGCCATACCGTAAGAAGCCAGCAAGCCACTCAAGGAGCAAGAGGACGATATCTTCACCCATTCAACTGTATTGGTTCTACAACTTAAATAAGCTGCAAATACTCAGTTTAAGATAATAATATTTAGCCATGCTGAAGACAAGATTAAGCCAATCAACATCTGGCACATCAGAGTATTTCTGCGCCCTACAGTCATGCTTAGGACACCAAATATTTCCCCCTGCGGTAAATTTCTCTAGTAGATAAGGTCTGGAAGATTTATTGTATTTTCCCTGCAGTAGCTCTGGAATATCACCTACAGCAACCCATTTAAATTCTACCATTGATTACTGAATTTATTTGGCAGTTATGAATGTCTCCTCCCAGCCAGAGAGAAAGCATACAGCAGAGACAGTTTATTTACCCAGGAATAAATCCCTGTGCCCTTTTCTTCTGCTTACAATGGATACACTCCCTGCTGTAACACCCAATTTACCTTGGCTTGTCAAATGCACATTACAGTGTATGCATTACTCTTGTGCAAATACATGAATATGGTTTTATGTCAAATAGTGAAATTATGATAGTAATATAGTTTAAATATTAGATGGTTCTAGCAGAGATTATCTGAGTACTGCAATTCTGGTGTGTTGAATGGGGTACAGTGGAACAAATGTGAAACCACTGTTATTGCAGGTGTTGACTAGCAAATAAAACAACTAAGAATAATTAGCAAGCCGGCACTTAGCGAAGAACAAAGGAAGTAAGCTACAGGTCAAGAGACCAGATAGACTTTTCTGTGCAGCAATAAAAAGGAAGCTTAAGGTTTTCTACAATTAGCAGTCAAAAAAATGTTACCTTCCTTTAACCCCACTAGAACAGGGCCCACAATATTAAAAAAATACCTGAGATTTTTCGTTATACGTAATTGCAAACATAAGGGTTCTGATAATGTACTTTTGCTGCCGAGAGAGTAAGCCCAGCGGCTCTGAAAGGCTATTCATCTGTTTGTTGATACACTAGAGGACACTTGGAGTGGTTAGCAGCATTCTTGTCTCGGTACTCACTTTAAACGCAGGAATACTGGCAGGAATACTGGCTTCAGCCCCAAAAAGCTGCTTCAAGCCACACTGCCGCAAAGAAGGATCAGTTCAGCTGCCCAGTGTCCGAGGAACACACCAGACCAGGGAGAAGGCACTGAATAAAGTGAGGGTCCCTGGTACTTCTCAGGAGACTGACCACAGCTCAGACTCATTCCTGTCTATGTTACATTCTTATTCTCTGCTCTTCCTCCTCATTACAGTCAGGGGGGTTTTTCCTACAGACACCATCCATCCTTCCTGGGGAGAACCATCGCAGGTACTCCTAGACAGTGCTGTAACTGGCAAACATTGGAGCATCATAACCATATGCATGTGTTTTGTGTCTACTGTAATATCCCTGAGACCTCTTGACAAACACTAACTTTACATATAAAACCCGGCTGACGCTAGTTTACCTTCCATCTGGCAACAGCCAGTATCACTGTAATTGATGAAAGAAGAGAGACATACAAATCAGTAACTGTTTAAAATTTCTCACAAGAGGAGGAAGCTTAAAAAAAAAACCACAATCTTGGTGGAAGACTGCCAATGGGATTTTTTTTTTAATGATTTTTTTTCCCTCTCTGCACCGTTTTTCATCAAACCATGAAAATTTCAAGTAGTAGCCAAAGTTCATATTCTGTGTTTTTTGATTTAAGACATTTTTTTCGAAAAGTTTTAAAAAGGAAATCTGTAATTGAGCTTAATTATCCTAACATGGACATCTCCAGCATAATTTTACTTCATTCACATTACAGTGGGGAATAAAAGAATGTAGTGAGTCCATCTGTAGAGTGGAAGCAGGTTTCTTGGCAGGGAGATACACAGTATAAATGAGAATTGGTATAAAATGCAAAGCTATGCCAATTTAAAAATCATACTCTAGCTAAATTGTATAGCTAAACACACACAACTTTGTGTGCAAGCATTCTTAAATAAAACCAGCCAGAAAAGCTTCCAGCGAAATAGAACTTATTTGTTTTAAAGCTGTCAATAGATACGTAAAAGATACTTGCAACAGTTTACTTAAATCAGTTTTTACACTGATTCAACTGACTGGTTGAATGTCTCTGTGTAAACAAATAGTTAAGATGAGGCATTGCAGTAACGAAATTTAGTCGTATTTCAAAAAGATTTTTACTGGAAAGTGGCCGTAGAGGATTTTCTGTATGGATCCTTTTCTATCTGGTAATTTATTTCTATACAAATGCTGGGGAAGGGAGGAGACAACTGGATAAGCTAGCTTTGGGAAAAGAGAGGCAGCATTAGAGCTTCCCATGCAATGAAGCACAGAAGCTCCACTGCTGCTAAAAATAAAGAAAGAAAGAGGACCATCCATCTGGGACTGCAAAGCTTTGCTGCGGGGGGATTTCTGGACACAGTAATGACCCCTCCTTTTAAAGCACGGCTGCACTGCCCCTCTCCTGAGTACCTGCGAAGTTAACCTGCTCTAGTACTAGCGAGGTGTGTTTGAAGTTTTGTTTTGCTCAGATGACAGCCAGGCTACTGGTCGGTGAATACACGATGTATGAGGCTGTCATTAAGATTTTTTTTGTTTCATAGTCCAGCTTGATATCATTTGCTTTCTTCTGCTGGGAGACGAAACAGAAACCATATTATAGGCAATACAGACACAGCACGAAACTTAAGAAATTTCACCTAATTCCAGTGATATTACAGGTTTTGGACAGACAGACAGAGTGCATCCTTGTATCCCTAGATACAGGTTAACATATCGCACAGTTCTAGCTTACAACTGCTAAGGCTTCTGTTACTGGTATGGCCCATCTCCGTCTAGGCTGAAACTAAGCAGAAAATCCCCATTCACGTCTTGTTCACTACACAAAATTTTAAGATCAAAGCTACTCGAATCACATTACACAAAAACACCCTCTTGGATTGTGACATGATGGCGTCTTTAGCTTTCAAACATCATGCCCTTTGCCTTCTTCATGGGCAGAATTTAGCTGCCAGCGTAGGTAAGATGAAAACTTTTCATAAGCAGAGAAAGTATGCAAGCGCACTGCAACAGGCACTTGCTCATTAAATATTCTATACTGCCTCCTGGACCTGTGACCCATCGTCTGCATTAAGCAGAATAATCAATTCCAACATAAGAAGCAGGCAACTTCTCTGGTCTCACCCACCCCAGTCTGCTTTCTGTAACGACAGCCTGGCTAGCGCCAGAACAGACCTGACTCAGCAAGCGCTTTTGACTTCTGGTAAAACACACTTGAATCAGAGCATAACTGAACAAAACTGGAAGTACATCGATATTACAGCTTTTTAAATTACGAATACCAGGAAAGGTAAACTCCTATCACCAACAAGGACAATTTTTCTTTTGATGAGGGTTCGTATATAAAACCCACTCATTTTTCTGAAGTTTTCCACTGCTGAGCTTGCAATAGTTTCAGCAGTATTGACTGGGCTGTAGGAGGCTGTAGCAGTGCATTTTCATCATCATCCAACACACACAAAGTATATGACATACTACTTAAAAATACAAGAAGCTACAAGTATTATTTCTGCACTAGTACTCTGAATGTCACTTCTACCAATTAAAACTGCTGGAGTGGAGCACAGGACCAGCTCTGTTCAAGGTCTCCGCATAAAGAACGCTCTATGCCGTGTACGACAGCGCAGCGCTGCAGGCCCTGGGGAATACCAAAGGGCTCATTTTCTTTGCAGGGAGGGAGTTTAAGCAGCAGCAGCAGCAGCAGCAGCGATATTTTC